GGGGGTGTGTGTTGGGGGGTGTGGGACAGTTGGAGGAGGTTGGGTGGAGGCAGCCGTCGTGTCGTCTGCAGCGCCTGTATTCCGGGGTTCTGATAGCCACCGGTAGCTCAGAGAGCCGGTTGCACCTGTCGCCCGTGGGTCCGTTGCTCCTGTCGCTGCTGATCAGACGCAGAGCCTGTTACTCCTGTATTCCGGGGCCCTTGCTCCCGGTAGCCACTAGAGCTGCACCAGAGCCGTCTGTTGCCCGTGTGTCTGCAGCTTCAGTCGTCGCCTCCACTCCTCTCTCCCCTCGCCAGCCCTCCTCCTCCTCACTTGCCCTCTGTGACTACCTCTAGCTTTGCTCATAATTGTGAACTTTAAACTATTGCTTCTTGAACTTGTGCTCAGAATGTGTGGTGACATTGTGATCCACCCTGAGCTTGTACTGCTTTGCTTGCTCTGCTGATTACACCCCACTTTGGCTATGGGGGTGTGTCAGAATATTATGTTCTAGCCTGTAGTGGGGTGCTCTATAGCGAGTACAACCCTTCTAGGGTTTGCTATTTGTATCCCCATTCTTGCTAGTGCAAACTCTCCTTTGCTCGTTTCTCTCTTGCCTAGCTAGGGTTTACCTAGCTATGGCTCATGATTCTAGCTCCTATTTTGACACTGACTCCGCCTGTGCGCCATGGCAAGGCCGTTCTCACTGTCGTCAAGCGCATTGCTGATGCCACAAGTGAGGGAGGCCTTCTTGATAAGCTCAGGCGGCACGGCCTTCCAGGCTCATGAGGTCCACCTGAGCACCACCGCAAGGGGCGGCTTCTTGATGTTTCCTGTACCACAAGTCAAAGTAGGGGAGATGGTGTTAGAACAACATACGGGGGGAAATCAATCCACTATCAAACATTCAACACTGGGGTTCTTACCTGCAGGCGTCATTTGTGTCTTGCGCGCGGTTTCTATTTTGTCGTGTGTCCCGTGCGCGGTTTCTGTTTTGTCGCTTGTCGAACGTTCGGCGTGTCGCAGGTGTGTGCAGCAGACCCATCAAGAACTCAAGGATGAGTTTTGTGATGAAGAACCCGAGCCTTGGTTCAAGCTTCAAGTGTTTTCGAAGCTCGCCAAAAGGCTACACCTCAAGATATTGAAGATAGTTACATTACAAAGTGTAGTGTAATATTTCAGTTGGTGTAGGCCCTCGTGAAGGGTAGTTTCGAGACCCTTCTTGGTTGGAGACAGTGTGGCACTGTTCCCCATCACTGTACCTCGGCTCTTGGGGTTTGTAGGAGCTGGGAGTCATTCTTAACTCATAACTCTTCCTAGCTGTTCGTAATTGTGTGTTCTAAGACTATGTTGCTGCCATAGTGCCGTTCGTTCAATCTGACGCTGTGTCGTCAATTCTTGATGAAATCGTGCGATTGCCTATTGTAGGCAACGTTAAGACGCTCTAGATCCAAGTTGAATGAGGTCGTTTGGAGCTGTGACCAGATCGCTATGAATGATTAAATCCGCCGTGCAGAAATCTGACTGCGCACTCTATCTTTCGTTTTAGGCACATTAAAGCCTATTGTGACTATAACAATTCCCACTGTCCGTGTTTGCGCAGATGTGGCGGAGCAATGCCAGAAGGTCTGGTAGTTCGTGCATGACATGCGGCGTGAGCGCGCACGATTGTGTTTGCCTTAAAAAGGGACCCCTAAAAGAAATATGTTTTTATTCCCTTTTATACGCGCATGAGCATATGCCCTGCACTCAATTACAAGCGCCCCCCCTTTAAACATTGATTTTAGGGTAAGCGCATACGCGCTACTATCCGGGGTGATACGGCATTTCTACTTTGTACTCTCGACTTTTCTCTAGTGCAACTTTTCCCTTCTTGACATGGTATAGAGCACGCCACTGGATTTCCCGAGCGATGTCATGCTTCAGGCCGCCGATGTAGCGGTCGACGCGCTCGCTCTCATGCATGTAGCCCACTTGCTCGCATAGCGCCGGAAACCCGCTGGTGTAGTCTTGGACGGAACCGAGTTGGCGCCAAGTGCGGAGCTTCTGTCGCGCCGCGATCGAAGCCGCAATTGGCTCAAATCGAGCGCGCAGACCTGCGCACCACGCGTCCCACGACGGCGCCCAGGGTCCGGTTTGTCCTTCCCGAGTCGGAAGAGTCGCGTAGTCGTTCGGCTTCGTGACGATGACGCGCCACCAATCCATGGCGGGTCCTCGCAGCAGCGACACGGCGTAGCGAATCTTCGCCGTATCCTTCGAGACGTAGTTGGCGTCGAAGAAAACGTTCATCGTGAACAACCACGCCTGAACGGTAGGACCACCCCGTTGACTCGGGTCAAAGCACGGCAGACGCTGCGGCTTCAACGGCATTGGTGACGGCAGTTCCGAATCGTGGGTCGGTGCCGAAATCGTGATGCGAGGCTGGCTTGGGGCCGCATTCGTTGCCTCGGGGTGTGTCGCGGCGTGGTCGTCGTCTTCGTCGTGGTGGATGACGCCATCAATGGCCGCGCTCGCGGGTTGCCCCACACTTCCGTGCTGTGATGCATGTGGTGCGGGCAGTGCCGGAGTGCCAGGTGCTTGAGATTGTGCTTGTTGTGCCCGTGTAAGGTCGTTTTGCAGGGGCGATCGTTCTGCCATCAGCGCCGGGATTTCCTTCGTATTTTCGTGAAGTTGTCGCAGCAGCTCGTTCATTCGGTCCTGCGTGAGAGTGGTCACGTCGATATGTTGGGCCATGGCGAAGGGCGTCGGCTCGGCTTAGTCTAGGCGCAGTCGTGGCTGCACGCGTTTACGAGAGAACGCGAGGACAGCGGCTCCTAGGGGCTAAGGTGCGTGAGTCTTTTCGAGTGAGAAAATCAGAAGTTGATTTCCTGGGGTGCGGAGATGCGCGGTCCGAAAAGGAAAGAAGCTCTGATAACCAAGTGCTACGTGTGCAATGGATCGAGGTAGCGAGGATTGCACTAAGTGTCAAACGAGTACAAAATGTGAGCGAAGGCATGAGCGAACATTTATACGCGAAACATGCAAACGGTAACGCGGTGCGTGCGAGCTAGCTAGTGCTACGCTGGCAGCGAGGTTCGGGCTAGTCCCAAAGCGTAGGCCGACACGGCCGGGCCAGCAGTGCGTGGTTTGGCAAAACAGTGCGCGCGAAGTTGGCGAAGCCCCGTTAGCAATACTCGTCATCACCCGGATATAAGACAGTGTTGAATAGTAGACAGGGGTTGTCTATTATACGGGTGTCTCTTATAAACAGGCTAGCCTCATTATAAGACACCTATTTGTGTGTACGGGTTAAGAAAGTGTAGGAGTTAGGGGCAAATGTATAGCGAGGGGGTATCTTCTAAACGGTTCTTTGTCCATTTATAAGATTTATAAGACACCCTAAACCATCCCGTTTACAAGATAACTCAAGCATTTTTGCCCGTGTACGAGATAAGACATATATGTCTTATATCCGGGCGATGACGGTAACGGGCGAACAACGGCTGTTGCTGTACGCGATGTAGCCGGACTCCGTAAGGAATGCCGAGAAAATACTTTACACTACCCCACTACAGCCTACATATCATTATAACATATACATTGTGTCAGAATCCCAGTCACTAACCACTGGGATAAAAGGGCTTGTTTAAGTAGCGGGTGAGTGCGCCCATAACCCCCCAGGCCGACGTGCCTGTAACCCTTCCCTAGGATCATCGGGGATCTCCAGTGGACCTCTGACACCCCCCCGCACTGGGATGCCCGAAGTGCACACACCGGGAATCGAACCCGAGACCTTCGCTCTGATACCATGTCAGAATCCCAGTCACTAACCACTGGGATAAAAGGGCTTGTTTAAGTAGCGGGTGAGTGCGCCCATAACCCCCCAGGCCGACGTGCCTGTAACCCTTCCCTAGGATCATCGGGGATCTCCAGTGGACCTCTGACACATTGCGGTAGTTTTTCTTGTCCCTCTTGTCCACTACACAGGTGCTTATGATAATCAAAACGCTCTGGTATTTCGTTTGTGGCACCAGAGGACTTACCGTCATACCCCGGATATACCCCCATGGGGGGCAATAATAAAACAGGTTTTTTTTAGGGGGGTGGGCTTATAATCGAGTAAATTTATAAGCGCCGGCGTTTATAAAACGACATATATAGTTTATATTTTTTTTTACACCAAGCTGTAGATCTCGTGCTTGCCTTTTCAATCGAGTCGAAGTTACATGGGGTCGTCTGTGAAATTCTCGCGCGCACTGGGAGATACACCAAATCTGACAGCTCTTGAGAGCTTCTGACAGCTTCTGACAGCTCCTGCTGACTGGACCCGCATCCAGTGCAGGGTCCGAATGTGAAGGGAACCGAATCTGGAGACATCCGCCTGCTAAAGTAAAATTCGTTACAGCGTTTTGAACACATTTCAAAAATTAAAGTTTACGTGCGCTTATAATAAAACAAGTTTTTTTCAGGGGGTGCGCTTATAATTGAGCAACGGATATAAGCGCCATGCGCCAATTAAAAGCGCCAGGCGCTTATCCGAGGGTGGCGCTTATATCCGGGGTATGACGGTATTAACAAGGATACAAAGCAAATCAAGGCTAGGATGGTAGTCTAGTAACCATCACTACTATAGCTAGGCAGTACTCGTAAACGGCCACCTGCAGGGCGGCCGGATACGCCACCAGACACATGGGCAGCTGCGCGCTTCCTCTTGAGGGCCTCGGCAATGGTCTCCTCTGGTGACCCGCCCTCTGGAGGCGGCAGGCTGCCGCATGGGTGGAGGGAGATGGATGTTGAGAGATGGAGGGTGTGTGTGTGGAGGGAGTGGGGAAGGGGACGGGAGGGGGGGCTGCGACTGTGCGTGCGTGCGAGCGTGCATGCGTGCGTGTGTGTGTGTGTGTGTGTGTGTGTGTGTGTGTGTGTGTGGTGTGTGTGTGTGCGTGCGTGCGTGCGTGCGTGCGTGCGCGTGCGTGCGTGTGTGTGTGTGTGTGTGTGTGTGCATAACATGAGCCAGCTTGCAGTGGAGAGTGGCCCTTGCTCACCATTCATTTCTCAGCCCCATACACATCTCGTTCTTGCTGCTCGGAATGGGGCAGCAATGTAAACACAGAAACAATAGATTTGAGTTAGCCAAGCAATCACGGTACAGACCCATTGGTGGCCCACCATAACAATACACATAATTGCAACATATACGATAGGGCAGAGCAATGTGCGCATGCGGGCATACCATCGGGCAGAGCAGGCCAGCACGTGCAGGCAGCGCAGCATGTCTCCCGAGTTGATGAGGCCGGCGTGCCAGAGCTTGGCGAGGAAGAGGAAGAGCGAGCTGCCGAGAATGGGGGCAGGGCGGACGAGGGTGGTGCCATAGGATGGGATGGGATGGGATGGGATGGGATGGGATGGGATGGGATGGGATGGGATAGGATGGGATGGGATGGGATGGGATGGGATGGGACGGGACGGGACGGGACGGGACGGGACGGGATGGGATGGGATGGGATGGGATGGGATGGGATGGGATGGGATGGGATGGGATGGGATGGGATGGGATGGGATGGGATGGGATGGGATGGGATGGGAAGACGAATACGGATTCGAATACAGTTACGGATACGAATTCGAATACGGTTACGAATACGGTTACGGGTTGGATGGAAAAACGAATACGAATACGAATACTTATACAGAAACAAATTCGAATACGGATACGGATTGGAAGGGTGTAAAAACGAATACGGATTCAAATACGGTTACGGATTGGATGGAAAAACGAATACGAATATGAATGCAGATACGAATTCGAATACGGATACGGATTGGAAGGGTGTATAAACGAATACGGATTCGAATACGGTTATCTTAAACCAATAATTGTCAAATACCTGCCAGTATTTGTATTTGTTCGAATACCTGCCCCTCCACGAATTCGAATACGGTTCGAATACATGGTGTGTCAAATACGGTTTCAAATTAAAAAAAAAGGTTGCGCAAACAATTATCTCATGATTCACGGTGGGGCTTAAGTCCATACTGAAGGACCATTAACCCCCTTTTACTCTTACTCATTGACCCCTTGCTCTGTTAGCATGACTCTGATGGCCGTTCTGTTGAGTCCTTTGTATTTTTTACTCAAGAATCATGAGTAATAGCGGCTGGTTTGAGTGGTTCGGTAACTTCTGAGCGAATCGAATTTGTATTCGAATAACCGGTTACTTGAACCGGTTACTCGAATACTCAAATTTCGAATACTTTCGAATAGAAGGGGGCATTTGTATTTGGTTTATATTTGATATTTGTCGAACGGACGGACGGACGGACGGACGGACGGACGGACGGATGGATGGACGGACGGACGGACGGACGGACGGACGGACGGACGGACGGACGGACGGACGGATGGATGGATGGATGGATGGATGGATGGATGGATGGATGGATGGATGGATGGATGGATGGATGGATGGATGGATGGATGGATGGATGGATGGATGGAGTAACAAATATGAGGAGCCCAATGGCTTCTACTCAAGTGCCACCAATGCACCCACGAAGAGTGACCAAGCTCCCTTTTCCTGCCCTCATTTGCTAGTCGCATTTGGTAGTTGCTTGTTGTCTACGAGGCAGCGAGTGAGTGGCACCTGGCAATGAGTGAGTGGCACCTGGCAGTGAGTGAGTGGCACTCGGAGAACACGAAGGCCTTCACCACCGTCGAGTGGTTCTTGTCGGGAAGATTCCTGCCATGCCACGACAAGGCAGACCAAATGCCAAAGCAGGGCGTGAGGCAGTGAGACATGTAGCAGCATGGCAGCATGGCATCATGGCAGCATGGCAGCATGGCAGCATGGCAGCATGGTGGCATGGTGTCATGGCGGCATGGCAGCATGGCAGCATGGGAGCATGATGGCATGGCAGCAAAGCGGCATGGCGCATGGCAGCATGGCAGCATGGCGGCATGAAGGCGTGGCAGCATTCAAAGAGATAGATGCAGTCGAACATGGGAAGCAGGCAGCAGGCAAGACTGAACGGCGAGAAGAGCACCCAAGGCCATGCAGGAAGTACAGAGTGCATGGGGTGAGAGCTCACATGCTGAGGGAGCGGATGAGCTCACATGCTGAGGGAGCGGATGAGTCGGTTCCAGGCGAGCATGAGGCGCCTGTCCCCCTCTGCCACGTCCGTGAAGTCCCCCAGCAGCTGGGGGGCAGGGAGGGGAGGGAGGGGGGAGGGGTGGGGAGGTGGGAGTGGGGAGGGGTGGAGAGGTGGAGTGGGGAATTGGAAGGTTTGGGGATTGGAAAAGCAGGAGGGGGAGGGTGGAAGATGGTGGGGAGGGAGGGAGGGGACAGGAAGGTGGCAGGGGTGGTGTGGAATGGTGAGAAGTGATGATGGTTGCACAAGTCAGAGGAAAACATAAGGACGTTAGGTGGCGGAAGGGGAAGCCTAGCAAGCAATTCCTCTTCGGCTGCCCGAATCAACTGTCCTTCCTGCCCTCCCTGCTCTTATCAACTGCCCTTCCTGCCCTCTCTGCTCTTTTCAACTGCCCTCCCTGCCCTCCCTACTTAACCGCACTCACTCTTTCCTCTTCCTCATCCACATTGCTCTTGTCCTCACCACCCCACCTGCAATGACAGGCCAAAGTGATGGGGATCATGGTGATGATGGTGATGATGGTGATGATGGTGATGATGGTGATGATGGTGATGATGGTGATGATGGTGATGATGGTGATGATGGTGATGATGGTGATGATGGTGATGATGGTGATGATGGTGATGATGGTGATGATGGTGATGATGATGGTGATGATGGTGATGATGATGGTGATGGTGATGATGGTGATGATGATGGTGATGATGGTGATGATGGTGATGATGGTGATGATGGTGATGATGATGGTGATGGTGATGATGGTGATGATGGTGATGATGGTGATGATGGTGATGATGGTGATGATGGTGATGTTGGTAATTTGCACAACAACCATGCACATGCGAAGTCACAGGTGCACGAGCACCACATGGATGGGCATGCATGGATGGGCATAGCATGGATGGGCATAGCATGGATGGGCATAGCATGGATGGGCATAGCATGGATGGGCATAGCATTGATGGGCATAGCATGGATGGGCATAGCATGGATGGGCATAGCATGGATGGGCATAGCATGGATGAGCATAGCATAGATGGGCATCATCAAATAGAAAACTTGTGCTGGCCTGGCATGGCACGTGATGGCATGTCATCGCATGGACATGACTCACAGTCTGTTGAGATGCCTGATTGCCTCCTCCTCCACCCCTCCCTCCCTCGCAGCACTGCCGCCTTCCCCTCCAGCCCCACTCCTGCCTCCCTCCCTTCCTCTCCTTCCTCGCCCTCGCCCTGAGATGGATTGACCGGGAGAAGAGCCAACAGGTGAAAATCGAACAAGAGAAGAGCAAATGGGAGAAGAGCGAATGCGAGAAGAGCGAACGGGAGAAGAGCGAATGAGAGAAGAGCGAATGGGAGAAGAGCGAATGAGAGAAGAGCAAATGGGAGAAGAAAGGAGCAAATGCGAAAAGAGCGAATGGGCGGGGCATGATGGAAGGAAGTATAACGGCCACAGGGAGAACAATGCAGAGCAGATGAGACCGCTCTTGCATTCATCAAGTCACTCTTGCAACCGCAATCCATTGCACCCTACTTGAGCGCACCTTTCCTTGTTTGACGGCACCCCGTCTCATCCTTTGGTGGCTCCTTGACTTCAAACTCCGGCAGCCGCCGCCCGCTGCTGCTGCTGCCGCCGTCGCCGCCGAGGCAGTAGTCGTAGAGCACCTCGTCGCCCGCCCTGAGGTCGCGCAGCACGTAGATGCCCACCCGGTGCACCCCGCCCACCATCCACACCTGCCATGGCCCGCGCGTGGGACAGGTAAAGGGACAGGAGGGGCAAGGGGATCGGAGGGGCAAGGGGATGGGACGGATAAGGGGATGATAGAGGCAAGGGGATGGGACGGATAAGGGGATGGGAGGGACAAGGGGATGGGAGCGGCAAGGGAATGGGAGGGGTAAGGAAATGGGAGGGGCAGGGGAATGGAGGGATAAGGGGATGGGAGGAAAACGGGGATGGGAGGGGTAAGGGAATGGGAGGGACAGAAAACCATCCAAATCAAAGCACGACCTTAAGCTCAATCCCAGCCATGATGCCGCCCAGCCATGATGCCGCCCAGCCATGATGCCGCCCAGCCATGATGCCGCCCAGCCATGATGCCGCCCAGCCATGATGCCGCCCAGCCATGATGCCGCCCAGTCATGATGCCGCCCAGCCATGATGCCGCCCAGCCATGATGCCGCCCAGCCATGATGCCGCCCAGCCATGGTCCACCCACCTTGCATTCACAGTTGGGGTTGGTCCGTGAATGGTTGGCAAACTTGAGGGCACTCCCCTTCCACTCCGCATCCAGCAGCTCCTGCCATGCCATGCGCCATGCCATGCGCCATGCCATGCGCCATGCCATGCGCCATGCCATGCGCCATGCCATGCGCCATGCCATGCGCCATGCCATGCGCCATGCCATGCGCCATGCCATGCGCCATGCCATGCGCCATGCCATGCACCATGCCATGCACCATGCCGTGCGCCATGCCATGCGCATGGCATGCATTATGCCGTGCGCCATGCCATGCGCCATGCCATGCGCCATGTGCCATGCCATGTGCCATGCGCCATGTGCCATGCCATGCGCCATGCGCCATGCCATGCCAGGTGCCATGCCATGCGCCATGCACCATGCCATGCCAGGTGCCATGCCATGCGCCATGCGCCATGCCATGTGCTATGTGCCACGCCATGTGCCATGCGCCATGCACCATGTGCCATGCGCCAAGCGCCATGTGCCATGCGCCATGTGCCATGTGCCATGCGCCATGTGCCATGCGCCATGCCATCGGCCATGTGCCATGCCATGCGCCATGTGCCATGCGCAATGCGCCATGTGTCATGCGCCATGTGCCATGCGCCATGTGCCATGTGCCTTGTGCCATGTGCCATGTGCCATGCGCCATGTGCCATGCGCCATGTGCCATGCGCCATGTGCCATGCGCCATGTGCCATACGCCACACCACGTGCCATGTGCCGCACCCAACATAATGAACACAACTTGATGAAAGCCGAGTTATATATTGTCAATCTGTGCAAAAACAACCATATTATCTGCACCACAAGCATCAGACAGCATGTAGCACATGCAGGGCGTGCAGGGCAGCGCAGCACATGCAGGGAAGGAAGGGCAGGGCGGGGCAGGGCGGGGCGGGGCACCTGGTTGGAGAGGTCGAACTCGAAGATGTGGCGCGTGGACTGGTCCTCCGTGAGCACCTCCCCCGTGTACTCCCCCACCAGCTCCCCCCGCCGCGCTCCGTGCTGCGCTCCAGCATGCAGACACAACCAGCATGCACCCACGACCAGCACCACGTCCAGCATGCACCCACAACCAGCATGCACCCACAACCAGCATGCACCCACAACCAGCATGCACCCACAACCAGCATGCACCCACAACCAGCATGCAGACACAACCAGCATGCAGACACAACCAGCATGCACCCACAACCAGCATTCACCCACGACCAGCATGCTCCCACAACCAGCATGCACCCACGACCAGCATGCGAAATGAGCGTGAGACACGGCAAGCCAAGAGAGGCACAGTGAGCGAGCAAGAGGATTGTGGCCTGGCAGGCTGTCTCTCAACAAGGCGGTCCACTCTCCTCAGCATAGGCATGACATGCAAGACAAAAAACACAGTGCATATGAGCACGACAAAAGGATATGAAATTGCAACACAAGAGGCACGGCAGGCACGCACCACAAGGAAAGCTCCCCAGCCGTTTAGAGGTGAGCGCTTCACCTCGACCTGCATTCACGACAGAATGTCAAATCGGTAAGGGCAAGGAGAAAACGGAAGAGAGCGACTGAAGGCAGAGCGAATGGCAGATAGCAAAAAGAAGAGAAACCGAAAAACATGTAGGTGGAAGGATGGTAACCCCGTTCCACCCATTCTCTACTTCCTTATTCCCAGACCCCTCCCTCCCTCCCTGCCTGCCTCCCTACCTCCCTGCCTCCCTCCCTCCCTCCCTCCCCCCTCCCTCCCTCTCCCTCCCTCCCTCCCTCCCTCCCTCCCTCCCTCACTCCCTCACTCCCTCACTCCCTCCCTCACTCCCTCCCTCACTCCCTCCCTCCCTCCCTCCCTCCCTCCCTCCCTCCCTCCCTCCCTCCCTCCCTTCCTCCCTCCCTCCCTCCCTCCCTCCCTCCCTCCCTCCCACATCACCCATGGCACGGCACATCACCCATGGCACGGCACATCACCCATGGCACGGCACATCACCCATGGCACGGCACATCACCCGGCACGGCACATCACCCATGGCACGGCACATCACCCATGGCACGGCACATCACCCATGGCACGGCACATCACCCATGGCACGGCACATCACCCATGGCACGGCACATCACCCATGGCGCGGCACATCACCCATGGCACGGCACATCACCCGGCACGGCACATCACCCATGGCACGGCACATCACCCATGGTGCGGCACATCACCCATGGCATGGCACATCACCCATGGCACAGCACATCACCCATGGCACGGCACATCACCCATGGCGCGGCACATCACCCATGGCACGGCACATCACCCATGGCACGGCACATCACCCATGGCACGGCACATCACCCATGGCACCGCACATCACCCATGGCACGGCACATCACCCATGGCACGGCACATCACCCATGGCACGGCACATCACCCATGGCACGGCACATCACCCATGGCACGGCACATCACCCATGGCGCGGCACATCACCCAGGGCGCGGCACATCACCCATGGCGCGGCACATCACCCATGGCACGGCACATCACCCATGGCACGGCACATCACCCATGGCACGGCACATCACCCATGGCACGGCACATCACCCATGGCACGGCACATCACCCATGGCACGGCACATCACCCATGGCACGGCACATCACCCATGGCATGGCACATCACCCATGGCACGGCACATCACCCATGGCACGGCACCTGCACGGAGTGGCGGCGGAAGAGCTGCATGTTGCAGCACGACTGTGGCTCCGTGCTGCCATCCACACGCACGCACACGCGAGCAGACGAGGGCAGAGGAGGGCACAGGGGGGCAGAGAAGGGCAGGGGAGGGCAGGGGAGGGCAGGGGAGGGCAGAGGAGGGCAGGGGAGGGCAGGGGAGGGCAGGGGAGGACAGGGGAGGGCAGAGGGGGCCAGAGAGGGGCAAAGAGGCAGGGGAGGGCAGGGGAGGGGGTTCGGCTTGAGATGAGGCATGACACACGACGAAAAACAGAGGCACGTGTGAGGGCTCCCACCCCGTGCAGTGCCCCTCTCACTCACCCGTGCAGTGCCCCTCTCTCTCACCCCGTGCAGTGCCCCTCTCTCTCACCCCGTGCAGTGCCCCTCTCTCACCCCGTGCAGTGCCCCTCTCTCTCACCCCATGCAGTGCCCCTCTCTCTCACCCCGTGCAGTGCCCCTCTCTCTCACCCCGTGCAGTGCCCCTCTCTCACCCCGTGCAGTGCCCCTCTCTCTCACCTCATGCAGTGCCCCTCTCTCTCACCCCGTGCAGTGCCCCTCTCTCTCACCCCGTGCAGTGCCCCTCTCTCTCACCCCATGCAGTGCCCCTCTCTCTCACCCCGTGCAGTGCCCCTCTCTCTCACCCCGTGCAGTGCCCCTCTCTCTCACCCCATGCAGTGCCCCTCTCTCTCACCCCATGCAGTGCCCCTCTCTCTCACCCTGTGCAGTGCCCCTCGCTCTCACCCCATGCAGTGCTGGCAGGTGTCGGGGTCGCACTCTCGGCCGGCGCGGCGGCAGATGCACGAGGTGGTGTTGCACGGGCCCTTGCACGCGCACCCGGGGAACCTGTTGGGGCACTCCTTGCCGCACCTGCCACGCACCCATGGGGGCCACGGGGACAGTGGTTGACGCACCCATGGGGGCCACGGGGACAGTGGTTGACGCACCCATGGGGGCCACGGGGACAGTGGTTGACGCACCCATGGGGGCCACGGGGACAGTGGTTGACGCACCCATGGGGGCCACGGGGACAGTGGTTCACGCACCCATGGGGGCCACGGGGACAGTGGTTCACGCACCCATGGGGGCCACGGGGACAGTGGTTGACGCACCCATGGGGGCCACGGGGACAGTGGTTGACGCACCCATGGGGGCCACGGGGACAGTGGTTGACGCACCCATGGGGGCCACGGGGACAGTGGTTGACGCACCCATGGGGGCCACGGGGACAGTGGTTGACGCACCCATGGGGGCCACGGGGACAGTGGTTGACGCACCCATGGGGGCCACGGGGACAGTGGTTGACGCACCCATGGGGGCCACGGGGACAGTGGTTGACGCACCCATGGGGGCCACGGGGACAGTGGTTGACGCACCCATGGGGGCCACGGGGACAGTGGTTGACGCACCCATGGGGGCCACGGGGACAGTGGTTGACGCACCCATGGGGGCCACGGGGACAGTGGTTGACGCACCCATGGGGGCCACGGGGACAGTGGTTGATGCACCCATGGGGGCCACGGGGACAGTGGTTGACGCACCCATGGGGGCCACGGGGACAGTGGTTGACGCACCCATGGGGGCCACGGGGACAGTGGTTGACGCACCCATGGGGGCCACGGGGACAGTGGTTGATGCACCCATGGGGGCCACGGGGACAGTGGTTGAAGCACCCATGGGGGCCACGGGGACAGTGTTTGACGCACCCATGGGGGCCACGGGGACAGTGGTTCACGCACCCATGGGGGCCACGGGGACAGTGGTTCACGCACCCATGGGGGCCACGGGGACAGTGGTTGACGCACCCATGGGGGCCACGGGGACAGTGGTTGACGCACCCATGGGGGCCACGGGGACAGTGTTTGACGCACCCATGGGGGCCACGGGGACAGTGGTTGACGCACCCATGGGGGCCACGGGGACAGTGGTTGACGCACCCATGGGGGCCACGGGGACAGTGGTTGACGCACCCATGGGGGCCACGGGGACAGTGGTTGACGCACCCATGGGGGCCACGGGGACAGTGGTTGACGCACCCATGGGGGCCACGGGGACAGTGGTTCACGCACCCATGGGGGCCACGGGGACAGTGGTTGACGCACCCATGGGGGCCACGGGGACAGTGGTTGACGCACCCATGGGGGCCACGGGGACAGTGGTTGACGCACCCATGGGGGCCACGGGGACAGTGGTTGACGCACCCATGGGGGCCACGGGGACAGTGGTTGACGCACCCATGGGGGCCACGGGGACAGTGGTTGACGCACCCATGGGGGCCACGGGGACAGTGTTTGACGCACCCATGGGGGCCACGGGGACAGTGGTTGACGCACCCATGGGGGCCACGGGGACAGTGGTTGACGCACCCATGGGGGCCACGGGGACAGTGTTTGACGCACCCATGGGGGCCACGGGGACAGTGGTTGACGCACCCATGGGGGCCACGGGGACAGTGGTTGACGCACCCATGGGGGCCACGGGGACAGTGGTTGATGCACCCATGGGGGCCACGGGGACAGTGGTTGAAGCACCCATGGGGGCCACGGGGACAGTGTTTGACGCACCCATGGGGGCCACGGGGACAGTGGTTCACGCACCCATGGGGGCCACGGGGACAGTGGTTCACGCACCCATGGGGGCCACGGGGACAGTGGTTGACGCACCCATGGGGGCCACGGGGACAGTGGTTGACGCACCCATGGGGGCCACGGGGACAGTGTTTGACGCACCCATGGGGGCCACGGGGACAGTGGTTGACGCACCCATGGGGGCCACGGGGACAGTGGTTGACGCACCCATGGGGGCCACGGGGACAGTGGTTGACGCACCCATGGGGGCCACGGGGACAGTGGTTGACGCACCCATGGGGGCCACGGGGACAGTGGTTGACGCACCCATGGGGGCCACGGGGACAGTGGTTCACGCACCCATGGGGGCCACGGGGACAGTGGTTGACGCACCCATGGGGGCCACGGGGACAGTGGTTGACGCACCCATGGGGGCCACGGGGACAGTGGTTGACGCACCCATGGGGGCCACGGGGACAGTGGTTGACGCACCCATGGGGGCCACGGGGACAGTGGTTGACGCACCCATGGGGGCCACGGGGACAGTGGTTGACGCACCCATGGGGGCCACGGGGACAGTGGTTGACGCACCCATGGGGGCCACGGGGACAGTGGTTCACGCACCCATGGGGGCCACGGGGACAGTGGTTGACGCACCCATGGGGGCCACGGGGACAGTGGTTGATGCACCCATGGGGGCCACGGGGACAGTGGTTGACGCACCCATGGGGGCCACGGGGACAGTGGTTCACGCACCCATGGGGGCCACGGGGACAGTGTTTGACGCACCCATGGGGGCCACGGGGACAGTGGTTGACGCACCCATGGGGGCCACGGGGACAGTGGTTGACGCACCCATGGGGGCCACGGGGACAGTGTTTGACGCACCCATGGGGGCCACGGGGACAGTGGTTGACGCACCCATGGGGGCCACGGGGACAGTGGTTGACGCACCCATGGGGGCCACGGGGACAGTGGTTGATGCACCCATGGGGGCCACGGGGACAGTGGTTGAAGCACCCATGGGGGCCACGGGGACAGTGTTTGACGCACCCATGGGGGCCACGGGGACAGTGGTTCACGCACCCATGGGGGCCACGGGGACAGTGGTTCACGCACCCATGGGGGCCACGGGGACAGTGGTTGACGCACCCATGGGGGCCACGGGGACAGTGGTTGATGCACCCATGGGGGCCACGGGGACAGTGGTTGACGCACCCATGGGGGCCACGGGGACAGTGGTTCACGCACCCATGGGGGCCACGGGGACAGTGTTTGACGCACCCATGGGGGCCACGGGGACAGTGGTTGACGCACCCATGGGGGCCACGGGGACAGTGGTTGACGCACCCATGGGGGCCACGGGGACAGTGTTTGACGCACCCATGGGGGCCACGGGGACAGTGGTTGACGCACCCATGGGGGCCACGGGGACAGTGGTTGACGCACCCATGGGGGCCACGGGGACAGTGGTTGACGCACCCATGGGGGCCACGGGGACAGTGGTTGACGCACCCATGGGGGCCACGGGGACAGTGGTTGACGCACCCATGGGGGCCACGGGGACAGTGGTTGACGCACCCATGGGGGCCACGGGGACAGTGGTTGACGCACCCATGGGGGCCACGGGGACAGTGGTTGACGCACCCATGGGGGCCACGGGGACAGTGGTTCACGCACCCATGGGGGCCACGGGGACAGTGGTTGACGCACCCATGGGGGCCACGGGGACAGTGGTTGACGCACCCATGGGGGCCACGGGGACAGTGGTTGACGCACCCATGGGGGCCACGGGGACAGTGGTTGACGCACCCATGGGGGCCACGGGGACAGTGGTTGACGCACCCATGGGGGCCACGGGGACAGTGCTTCACGCACCCATGGGGGCCACGGGGACAGTGGTTGACGCACCCATGGGGGCCACGGGGACAGTGGTTGATGCACCCATGGGGGCCACGGGGACAGTGGTTGACGCACCCATGGGGGCCACGGGGACAGTGGTTCACGCACCCATGGGGGCCACGGGGACAGTGGTTGACGCACCCATGGGGGCCATGGGGACAGTGGTTCACGCACCCATGGGGGCCACGGGGACAGTGGTTGACGCACCCATGGGGGCCACGGGGACAGTGGTTCACGCACCCATGGGGGCCACGGGGACAGTGGTTCACGCACCCATGGGGGCCACGGGGACAGTGGTTGACGCACCCATGGGGGCCACGGGGACAGTGGTTCACGCACCCATGGGGGCCACGGGGACAGTGGTTGACGCACCCATGGGGGCCACGGGGACAGTGGTTGATGCACCCATGGGGGCCACGGGGACAGTGGTTGACGCACCCATGGGGGCCACGGGGACAGTGGTTGACGCACCCATGGGGGCCACGGGGACAGTGGTTGACGCACCCATGGGGGCCACGGGGACAGTGGTTGATGCACCCATGGGGGCCACGGGGACAGTGGTTGACGCACCCATGGGGGCCACGGGGACAGTGTTTGACGCACCCATGGGGGCCACGGGGACAGTGGTTCACGCACCCATGGGGGCCACGGGGACAGTGGTTGACGCACCCATGGGGGCCACGGGGACAGTGGTTGACGCACCCATGGGGGCCACGGGGACAGTGGTTCACGCACCCATGGGGGCCACGGGGACAGTGGTTGATGCACCCATGGGGGCCACGGGGACAGTGGTTGACGCACCCATGGGGGCCACGGGGACAGTGTTTGACGCACCCATGGGGGCCACAGGGACAGTGGTTGACGCACCCATGGGGGCCACGGGGACAGTGGTTGACGCACCCATGGGGGCCACGGGGACAGTGGTTGACGCACCCATGGGGGCCACGGGGACAGTGGTTCACGCACCCATGGGGGCCACGGGGACAGTGGTTGACGCACCCATGGGGGCCACGGGGACAGTGGTTGACGCACCCATGGGGGCCACGGGGACAGTGGTTGACGCACCCATGGGGGCCACGGGGACAGTGGTTGACGCACCCATGGGGGCCACGGGGACAGTGGTTGACGCACCCATGGGGGCCACGGGGACAGAGGTTGATGCACCCATGGGGGCCACGGGGACAGTGGTTCACGCACCCATGGGGGCCACGGGGACAGTGGTTGACGCACCCATGGGGGCCTCGGGGACAGTGGTTGACGCACCCATGGGGGCCACGGGGACAGTGGTTGACGCACCCATGGGGGCCACGGGGACAGTGCTTCACGCACCCATGGGGGCCACGGGGACAGTGGTTGACGCACCCATGGGGGCCACAGGGACAGTGGTTCACGGTGCGGGTGGGTGATTGGATTGGGTGGGTGGGCGCGAGGGACTCACAGGTGAATGCATGAAAATTGCACACGTGTTTTTTATTGGGTGTTCACATGTTCATGTGTTCATGTGTTAGTGTGTTATTGTGTTCATGTGCACATGTGCAAGTCGGCCGACCGCATGAAAAGTATGTGTGCCACACCACAGGGAACCAGTGCGAGTGCAGCCACTGGAACAGCAACACGCCTCCCCACCAACCCGCTACCTGCACTGCTGCCCCCACCAACCCGCTACCTGCACTGCTTCTCGCAGAAGTTCTTTCCTTTGCGGCACTCACAGCTGCCCCTCGCACACTCCCCCGCACACGCACATGGAGTGTATGCCTCCTGCCAGGCACAGGGGGCGACGGGGCACATGGGCGACGGGTGCATGGGCGGGCCCAACCCAAGGATGTGGTGCATGGGCGGGCCCAACCCAAGGATGTGGTGCATGGGCGGGCCCAACCCAAGGATGTGGTGCATGGGCGGGCCCAACCCAAGGATGTGGTGCATGGGCGGGCCCAACCCAAGGATGTGGTGCATGGGCGGGCCCAACCCAAGGATGTGGTGCATGGGCGGGCCCAACCCAAGGATGTGGTGCATGGGCGGGCCCAACCCAAGGATGTGGTGCATGGGCGGGCCCAACCCAAGGATGTGGTGCATGGGCGGGCCCAACCCAAGGATGTGGTGCATGGGCGGGCCCAACCCAAGGATGTGGTGCATGGGCGGGCCCAACCCAAGGATGTGGTGCATGGGTGGGCCCAACCCAAGGATGTGGTGCATGGGCGGGCCCAACCCAAGGATGTGGTGCATGGGCGGGCCCAACCCAAGGATGTGGTGCATGGGCGGGCCCAACCCAAGGATGTGGTGCATGGGCGGGCCCAACCCAAGGATGTGGTGCATGGGCGGGCCCAAGGACGTGGTGCATGGAGTGTGCAGAGGGCAGTGGGATCCAAACATGTGTGGGATTGAAACACTGCTGCAAACACCGCCACACCGCTCCCAGCAGCACCGCTGCACTCACCACTCTGCCGGCTGCACTCACCACTCTGCCGGCTGCACTCACGAGTTGGCAGGGGGGAATGTGCGACCGCTGCTGCAGCAGTGCCTTCACGGCAGCAGAGGGTGGCGCCAGCGGCGGTGGCGGATGCACGCAGCATGGGAGGCCTGCGACACCGGGCCGTGTGCCGGCTGCACGTGATGCCTGCGACACAGCAGGCATGCACAACACAAGTCAGGCGCCTTGAGTGAGAGGGACGGAATGAGGCCCTTGGAGCCCATTGCTGGAGTGAGGCACGCATTGAGAGCATGCTGGCACTGCCACGCATTGAGAGCATGCTGGCACTGCCACGCATTGAGAGCATGCTGGCACTGCCACGCATTGAGAGCATGCTGGCACTGCCACGCATTGAGAGCATGCTGGCACTGCCACGCATTGAGAGCATGCTGGCACTGCCACGCATTGAGAGCATGCTGGCACTGCCACGCATTGAGAGCATGCTGGCACTGCCACGCACTCCCACCTCTTCAAGGCGCAGCACTCCCACCTCTTCAAGGCGCAGCAGCAACTCGTGTATGTCGCTGCAGGTGTGACGGCCCCTTTCCAGCGTCGCTGCTAGACAACAGCTGTGAGCGAGGAGACAGGGAGAGCAGTGAGGCGAGAACCGAGAGGAGAGGGGCGAGAGGAGAGAAGAGAGGGGGGAGCAGAGAGGAGAGAGGAGAGGAGAAAGTGCAGAGAGGAGAGAGGAGAGAAGAGGGAGGAGAGAGGAGAGCGACCTGAGGTGATGCAGGATTGCAATGGGCATCGGCATAACGCAGGTGAAGAAGTCAGCCAGGTGAAAACGAGGGACCTTGCACACGGCTGCTGTAGTTGAAAATGGGGAATGCGCGTGTAAGGGGAGATAGGAATGCACGTGCCTGCTGTAGTCGAAGATTGGGGATGCGATCTGAAGCATCAACTTGTCGTCGTCGCTCCACCTGCCCTCGTGGCTGGCAGCACCTCCTCCCTGCAGCCCATGAGAGGCATGGCCGAGGCATGGGCGAGGCGAAGCATGGGCGAGGCATGGGTGAGGCGAGGC